AGCCCCCCGCCGGGAGCCCGGCTGCTGGCGGCGGGGCACGGGGCAACGAGGGGACACTCACTGCATCCAGAAGGTGAGCCCTCGTCTCCTCGCCCAATCCTCCTTCTCCTGTAGGTGAACACAGGGCAGGGACAGTGGTCAGGCCCTGCTGCACAGCCGGGGCTCGTGCGGGACAGCGGGAGCCGGCAGCGCAGCAGCACAGCCCCGGTGCTGCAGGGAGCCCCGTCCCCGGGGAGACCCTTGTGGGTGGGGTGAGGGTGCGGTGGGCTCTGCCCCTTACCAGCTGTGCCTCCACCAGCTCTGGCAGCACAGCCCCAGGCACGGGGGCTGCCTCCAGCTCCAGCTGATGCTGCTGCCTGTAGGACACAAGGCTCGGTTGGAGGGTGCCGGCCTCTGTCACTGCGGGGGCTCCCCAGCAGTGTGTGCCCACTCCAGGGCTGGGATGGGGCTGCTCCGTCCCGCCATGTGCCGAACGGAACCTGAGCCCCAAGCCCAGCGGCGCTGCAGCCCCATTGCTGCCCCGGGTGCTGCAGAGACCCCCGGGGTGCAGGCGTGGGCTGCAGGGCCCAGTCCCACTCACCAGGCACTCTCCACCTCCAGCTCCTCCAGCTCCTCTTGCAGGCGCTGTTTCTCCTGGCGCAGCACCTGGCAGACAAAAGCGTGAGCGCCGTGCCCGTTGCAGCCCTCCTCCAGGGTCCCCAGCCTGGGGGCGGGTAGCCCCGATCCCCTCGCCCCTCCACACTACCTCAATCTCCTCGGTCTCAGAGTGCAGCTGCTTTTCCAGCTGGGCGATGAGCTGCTTCTCCTGCAAGACAACAGCTGGGCCATGTGGGATGGCTGTGCTGGGACCCATGGACCCAAGGGACCGGGACCGAGGTCCTCCTCACAGCCAGAGCCGTGAGGACGCCGAGCTCTGAGGACGAGCCTCCGCTCCACCCTACCTGCTCCAGCTCCTCTCGCCTAGCAGCCGCTCTTTCATCCCCTGCTTTCCGGCACTCCTGCGGGCAAGGAGGAGAGGCCATCAGGGCACCGGCGCTCCCATGGAGCTCCGTGCCGCCGTCCCCTCCCACCTCCTCCATCGGGGCGACCGGCGCCCGCAGGGCTGCAGCTGCAGCCCCGCACGGGGGGACTTCTCCCACCCCACGCCCCACGGCAGCACTGCTGAGCCCGCACACCCACACCGGCCCGTGCCGCTGCATCCGCTCACCTTCATCAGCAATTCCCTGGCCGCGGCTCTGTGGTTCTCCACAGCCCGCTCATGAGCCTGTGGGAGGAGAGAGGAGCGGCGCTGGCACCGAGGCGCTGCCGGCAGCTCTGCATCCCGCCGGAGGTGCCCGGCCCTCTGCTGCCGCGCCACAGGCAGGGCGCCCTCCAGCCGGCAGCTCGGCCCGCCGGCCCTTCTGTGCCCGCGCACCCAGAGCTCACCTCCATCAGCTCCTGCAGCAGCTTCACGCGCTGCAGCGCTGTTAAATTTCCGCTGGCAAACTGGGCCCGCATGGCTGCACCGCTCGCACAGCTGCTCGCAGACCTGCACACCCGCAGAATGGGGCCGGCAGGGTGAGCGCTGACCCACTGCCCCCGCCCCGCCCCGGGGCCTCTGTGAGCTCAGCACGGCATTGTGACATCACCAGCACAGGAGGGTCCTTGGAGATCATTAAGAACCACAGCATGGATGCGTTGGGAAAGTCCTGGAAGATCATAGAACCATAGGATGGTTTGTGTTGGAAGGGTCCTGGAAGATCATTAAGAACCACAGGATGGCTTGGTTGGGATGGCCAGCGTTGGGAGTTCCTTGTTGATCAAAGAACCGTAGATTGGTTTGTGTTGGAAGGGTCCTGGAAGATCAGAGAGGCATAGGATGGCATGGGTTGGGATGTTCCTTAGTGATCATTGAACTGTAGAATGGTTTGTGCCACAAGGGTCCTTGAAGATCACAGTTTGTTCTGTCTGCCAGGACATCTGCTCCCTCCCATGGAATTTCTGGAATCAGTTTAGAATTGACATCCTCTTGTTGAAGGTAAGATGGCAAAACGGATGCCTCAGCATGACGTAACATCAGTGGGAGCCGGCTTGGGCAGGCCCCCTTAAAAGGTTGGAAATTGACAGCGAGGATGATTATTAGCCTTCATCTCATGACCACCAGAGATGTGAATTATTTCTTGGAATTTCTGCCCATGTCCTTGGAATGTGATGGATACGTACATGCTACGCCAATAAATCTGCAATCCCTGCTTCTCTGGCTGTGCGTGTTGGTGGAGCGATCCCACGCACCCGACTGTAATAAAGGCATCACCTGCTTGACACAACACATGCTGTGTCCCATTCCTGAGTTGGTTTCCTCAGCTTCTTCACGCCCTAAGAGAATAAGCTTGTTGGACTAGACTCTGTTCAGCTTTCAAACCCCATTATTTTAAATGAGATGCCACGCTCCAGGAAGCTGAGGTGCTGAGCTTCTTTTGACTCAACTGGCTCGTAGCTACGGTGAGATATTTCCTTTATTGCAGTCTAAATGGAAGCCACACGGAGTCGGATGGGCTGCTGCTTTCCTTCTGCAGTGCAGAGCAGTCCATCCATCCCAGCACCACCACCAGTCGCCCACACGGCCCAGTGCTGGGGACGGTGGTTCCGCCGGCGCCGTGACCGGACTCAGCTGAAAGCCACTCCGCCCCACCCTGGCATGAAAAGCAGGAAAGTGGCGAGGCGTGCGGAGGGGCGGGAATGGAGGGGTTGGTCCAGATGTTGCTGTGTTCCCTTCAGTGGCCCAGGCCAAGCTCGCTGAGCTGCTCCTCCTTGGAGCAGGGGAGCGGTGCAGGTGCGATGAGCTGGCCATGCACAGCACACCCTTTCCTTGCTTTTTGCCTCTCCGCCTTCCATGAGCAAACAGCATCTCCAATCTTTCCTTGCTCAACAACCGCTCAGCTCAAAAAGAACTGGCAAGCTTGCTTTTAGAATTACTTTCTCTGTACGGCCTGATGCTGTAAAGCACGAGCTCTCCCAGTGATGACCTGCCTCTGATGTGCTCGGCCTGCAGGGAAAAGCTAATCCTCTGTGTCTGCAGGCTTTGCTCACATTCCCAGTGTAAGAGTCAGTTCAGAATTGAAGCTTAGCTTCACTAACAGCAGAAATCCAGCCTCTGCCAGCCGTGTTTTTCTCTCTCCTGAAACACTGAACGGCTGCAAGAAGCAACGTTTCAAAAGCTCCTTTACTGCACAAAAGCTAGGACATAAGAACAGATTTCCAGACCAGGCATACTTTTCAGGGAGACACCAGACAAGTGGAGACAATGGAAAGCACTGGCAAGTCAAAGCTGTGCTCAAAGCTTGGATGCAAGATCTAACGTCAACTTTTCCCATGCAGTTTAGCTATGGCGATGATAAATGATGGCCAAAAGCTTCCCTGCACCAGATCACCAAATCCAAGAGGTCAGGAGCTGCAGAGATGTAGGTTCATCTCAGCCCAGGAATCCTTCCGTTCAGCTCACGGGCAGAAGGCAGTGGGGCTCTCACGTCGCTCTGCTCCCAGGCGGGGTCCCCAGTACAGTGCAGAGACTGACTGTAATCATTTGCATTTCTCCTTTGCCTACTGGCAAGCACGCCCACTGCAGGGCACGTCTCATCCCACCCTCAGTCCTTGTAAGAAACACCGGGGCAAATCCGCCTGCGCTAAGCACAGCCCTTCCTTCCATGGAGCAACAAAGAAACCATTCTGCCCTTGCTCCTGACCCTTGTCCTGCCCCCGCCTGCCCTCAGAGTACAGCCATCTTCTCTTGCGGAAGGAAAGGAAAAGGAAAAGGGAGAGGACAAGGGAGAGGAAAAAGGGAAAGGGATTTATGAATATGTCAACCCTGTGTCATGGCAATCATAAGCCTTGTGCATGTTCTACTCCATCCTTCTCACAGCCATACACGGGGCACAGGGGAGCTGACGTTTTCGCTGTTGGGGATCCTGCTCTTGGTCCCCTGTTGGGGGAAGGAACGGGGCTGGTGGTTGCAGTCCTATGACACGGCGGTTTGTGCCACCCCATCCTTACCCGGAGGTGGACACGGGGACGGGGGGGGGGGTCTTTGGAGCTGCAGAATTGACTGCACACAAAAGTACTGAAAAACGAACGCTAAACATTGAATCATTTAACATAGAAGCAATAAACAGAGAACTGACCGTATTCCCAACCAGCACCACCCGAACAATCATCCCCCCTCACGGCTTCCCTCCTCGGGGCCAACACGAAGCTCACGCGGCTCCGGGAGCTCCGCACGGGGACAGAGAGATGGAAACCGGCCCTTGAGGACTGCGGCTGCGGGGCAGCAGCTCAGCACAGCGCTGCCGATGATTGGAGCCGGGCGAGAGCCGAAGGCTCTTGCTGATTCTGTGCCGGGCTCGAACGCGTCTCGATCCGTGCGATCGCTCCCTCTCTTCCGGGGCTGCCCGGCTCAGTCAGGAGCCGCTCCCGGACACCGGCCGGGTCCCGCCGCTCGCGGTAAGCCGCCGCTTCTCGCAGCCCGGCGGCGCCCCGCCGCAACGAGGACGGCTCGGTTCCGGCGGGGGACGGACAAGGCCGGCAGCGGTGCTCCCGCACCACCTTCCCTTGACCGCCCGGCGTCCCCGAGGCACGGGGCGGGCGGCGGCGGGGACGCGGGGCGGCGAAGCGCCGCGACTCTGCCCTCGCGCCAGCGCCATCACGGCGGCCCCGCACCCGCGTCCGCCATTGGTGGAGAGCCCGCGCTCGGCCCCGCCTCCTTCGCTCTCCCGTTAGTCGGTCCGCCGAATGGGGCGGGCGCTCCGCGCGGGATCCTTTCCGTCCGCGGTCGCACCGTCATTGCGTCATCACCGCGCGCGTCCCGCATGGCCCCGGCCCGGCTGCCCGCGGCGCCGCCCCGCGCTGTGCACCCGCTCCGCTTCCGGGGCCCCGGACCCTGGCTGGAGCTGCGGGAAGAGGAGGGCGGAGACGCGGGGGACCGCAGAGAGGCTGAGCCCGCGCCCTCGACCGCTCCGCCCCGCCCCGCTCCGCTCCGCCCCGCTCCTTGCCGGCCTCTTCCTGGGAAGAGGAAGGTGTGGGAGTCATAGGGAGGGACGCGCGATGGCAGCGTCAGTGGTAGGATCGGCTACTTCCTCCTCCGCTCCTGACACCGTGCGCTGGTTTCCTTTGAGAAGCACCCAGAAGCCAGAGCCCATTGTCACATCTGTGGGGTTCCACAGGACGCACAGACGTGGGGTAAGTTGAGGTTGTAAACTTCTGTACAGTAAGGGTTGTTAGGCACTGCATTGCCCAGGGAGGGGGTTGAGTCACCGTCCCTGAATGTGTTTAAAAACCTTTTGGATATGGTGCTCAGGGCCGTGATTTAGAGGAAGGTTGTTAATTGGGGTAGTATGGTCAGGTCGTGGTTGGACTTGGTGATCTTTAAGGTCACTTTTCCAACCTGTGTGATTCTCCAGCAGGGCCACCTGAAGTGGTGCCCGGGACCGTGTCCAGATGTCCAGATGGGTTTGGAGACAAGAGGAGAGGGTGCAGCCTCTCTGTGTCCCTGTGCCAGTGCTGCAGCGCTTACAGTGCAGGAGTGCTCCTGATGTTTGGTGGCAGCCTCTGGTCCTGGCACTGGGCTCCACTGGATGCAGCCTGGCTCCGTCCTCTCTGCCCCTCCCTGCTGGGATTGATGGCTGTGGGTGGGATTCCTCTGAGCTCCCTTTCTTCAGGCTGAGCAGCCCCCTCTGTCTCAGCCTCTTGTCATAGAGGAGGTGTTTCAGTCCCTTCACCATCTTGGTAGCCCTCCATTGGACTCTTTGCAGTATGTCTAGCCTGGGAGCCCAGACCTGGACACTGTTCTCTAGGTGCAGCCTCACAGAGCAAAAGTAATGGTGCAGAATAAATCTGCTACAAGACAAGTCAGGAGTGGGGCTGTGATGGGAGCACACTGCTTTGTGACTGACATGGAGAACTGCTAGGAAGAAAGCCTGGTGGGCCTGAACACAGATACCAGGTGGTCCAGCTGTTTCACTGGAAACTAGATACTTAATGGACAGCAATGTGGAGAAATGTTCTCCTTGTCGTTGTGCCCTGTGGCTTCTTTCTGATGTGCTTGGGAAGTCCCACTAGAGTAGACTGCTGCGTGAGACAGAAGCCTGGTACCACATCACATGTGTGGGTGGAGGTTTACTATCTCTGTTTTCACATCTTTTATGTTTGGTGTTTTTTTCTTTTCAATTCAATTCTATGTGTGCATTGGTGCAAGTCTGCCTTTGCTAAATCCTTTTCTTGTGGCCTTAGACAACAATCAAGGGGGTCTCAAGTTTCAGCGCTAAGCAAGAAGTGCAGGCACTCAGGAAGGCCATGAAGGGCTTTGGTAAGCTGATCTTCCTCCACAGGTCAACTTTTTTTTTTTTCCCCAGCACTGGGAATGGCTGCACCACAAATGGTGGTTTGTTAGAGGGAAGCGTAGCTGCTTGCATTGCTCTGCTGCACAGCTGCCCTAAAAATCGTTGGGCAGTGGAAACAGAAGTGCCCTTCATGTCCCGAAATGCAGCTGCTCTGGTGGTGTGGGTCCTGGCAGCTTTGTGTACATAGATGGATGTATCCTGGGGCTGTTGAGAGCCGGCTGTGTAGGGGACTGGAGGTGGCACAGGAGCAGAGGGCACTTTGTTGTGCAAGCAGCCCGCCTGGCTTCCATTTGTTTCTTGCACGGATGAAGATGCCATCGTTGACATCTTGATCAAACTAAATGCTTCCCAACATCAGTGAGTTCTGATCACCTACAAGAGTGCTACAAGAGCACTCCTGGCAGGGCAGGTGGTCTGCAGAGATGCGTGAATGTGGTTGTGTCACTTGGGTGAAAAGTGAAAAACAACCCAGTCTCCATAAGAGAAAGCAGAGACTTTACCTGACCAAGGTTGTTTTGTTCCCGTTCAGTTGAGAGCAGTTGTTGATGCAAGGAGGGTTGGAGCCTGAAGAGAAGTGGTGAGCAGCTCAGTTCCTTCTGTCCTCAAAAGCCGTACTTTCTGCCAACTCCTTTCTCCTCTCCTGGCCTTCTAGGATTTGATGGGTGACTCGAAGTCAGATCTGAGGGGAATTTTACAAGGGTGCTCATTGGGATGATGACTCCCACCACCATGTATGATGTGCATGAACTAAGGAGGGCTGTGAAGGTTTGGAAATCTTCCTTTTGTATGGCTTATGTTCTGGCCAAGGGCTTGCTGCTTTGTTATGTATGTCTTACTATGAATTCTTAAAGAAACCTGGCTGCGTGTCACGAGCAGTTGCTGCTATCTTAAATCTTGAATTAGTGATTCCCTAGGGAGAGGAATAGGTGCTGCCTGGTTGAAATTGTGGCTTCTTGCACCAATGAAGAAGTTGGTTGCATTAAGGAGAACTACGAGCTTCGTAAGTAGTGTGACAGGCCAGGCCTTGTCCTGCTGCCTGACAGTCAGTGTGTGTGTGTGTGTGTGTGTGCAGGCAGATGTGAAGAGGAAGGAGTCTGGGGAGCTTTCAGGTGTGACGGACTGGCCAACCTGGGTGTTGCTGTTTGTGCAGAGAGAAGCTAGACTGGAATTTCACCAGCAGCTGAACTGGTGTAAATAAAACAGGGAGGAGCATTCTGTCTGTCAGCAGGACTTGTGGCTCTCTTGCCAGTTTCTTGCTGTCTGTGCTTCTTAATTGGAGACTGCAGCACTGATGATGATGGCTGGAGCACTGCAGTGATGCTGAGAGCCCTGGGCCCAGCTCTGCACGTAGCAGGTTATGGCTGGCAAATGTTGTGGGCAGCACCCAGGTGGTGGCCCAGCTCCTAATGGATGCTGTGTGTGTGTTCTTGCTAGAATGTGGCTCTCCCTTGAGGATGGCATCGTATCTGACACATCTTCCATGTTTTGAAGGGTCCTCGTGTCCCTAACAATGGTGAGCCAAGCTGAGGGGAAAGGAGGTGAATCTTCAGAGCTGTGGGCAGAGCTCTGCACTCAGTGGTGAGGAGCTCCAGGCTGGCTTTTTCTCACCCTGTGTGTCCCATGTCTGCTCCTCAAGCCCAGCTTCTGCAGGGAGGGGACTCTGACTCTGGGTGTGCACCAGTGTTGTGGGCTCTTCTTTAAACATACCAGTAAAGTGGGTTGCTGCTCATTTTTAGAAGGAAGCCCAAAGCACACCTGAGCTGTGTTTCACTGTGTTTGTGAGCTACTGTTCCCTTTGAAGGACTCCATTATCCATCTCCAGCAGCTGATCCTGAATGAGGAATTCCCAGGAATTGCTTCCAGTAGATGCTCTGGTGAACGGAGTCTTCTATCCTTGTGTCTTTGCAGGGAAACAGAGATGAAGGAATGTAAGTGGCTGTGCTCAGCAGATGTTCAGGTGTGTAGTAATGTGCTTCCCAATCTATTCTTGTGCATGTGATGTGTGGTGAAGAGAAGCCAACCTGTGAAATGGGAGTAATGGTTCTAGTCTTGTTTGCAGGACTATAATGAGAGTCTCCAGACAGGCTGGCTGCTTGGCAGGGGCAATGACATTTTGGTTGTGGGTTGCCGTGCCTGGTTGGTGCTTGTTGGAAAGTACCTGTGGTCAAGTACAAGTACGGGCCAGCAGTGCTCTAGCTCTGAGGAATTAAAGATCTCCTGTATGCCCAGTCTTCTCCATGAGCCTCACTTTGTCATCCACAGTGTGTGTCAGTGCCTGTAGGAGCAGGGGAGAAGAAATGGGGAACAGATGAGGTGCAGTTTATGTCCGTCCTCTGTACACAGAGCAGAGATCACCTGCTGAGAGGCAGCACCCCTGCACAGTGTCCTGGGTTTTTTTTCCCTTCCTTGTCTGTGTGTGTTGCTTTTGTAGGAGCTCCGTAGGTTGTTCAGTAAATGTGAACTCTTCTGAGGCAGCAGATGTCCTGGAGAGAGCCCCATTCCATTCATTCCATTCAGGCTGTTTTGTTCCCTCCTGAGACTGAAAGGGGCTTTAGAAACATAAGTACAATTGGCTGCTGCTCCAGCATGGAAAGCAGAGAACATGAGGTGTGACTGCCATTGGGGTAGGGGGGAGAGGAGCTAAGAAACTTGATTGGCAGCACAAAGTAGCAGGTCTTGAAAATGGTAGTAGCTGTGGTAGGCCAATTAGCAAGTCTGTTAGCAATGAAAATGAATTCTTTCTGTGGGACAATCCTGGTTTAGCAGGAATGATAGAATGCTCATGCAGTATAGTATTGTTGCAGAGTGATCCTTTGAATCTCTCTGACTTTCTGCCATGGATTCTTCCCCCTAGTTTTTGATGGTAATGAGGCATTGCTGACAAGGACGTAACAGACAGCATTAAATCTGAGATGTCAGGAGACCTGGAAGGTGCTTTGCTGGCTGTGTGCGAGTGCTCTGCTTTTAAATGTTCTGTACAAAGGAATGAAATGATGAGAGGTGCTGTGTCTGCCCTCGAGCGGCTGTTACGTGCTTTCAGGAAGCAGTCGTGGTTTGTCTTTGTTTGTGGGCACAAATCCAGGCTGGGTGGGACTTGGAGCACCCTGGTGCACAGGGGGGTGTCCCTGAGATTGCAGGGGGGTTGGAACTCGATGATCTTAGGGGTCCCCTCCAACCCAAACCATTCTATGATTCTGTGCTTTACAGACCCAGCCAGGTGAGAAAGCTTTGTGCCTTATGGCACGGTGTGCTTGGCCAAAGGGAGCTTTGGCAGCAGAGGTTTGCTGTCAGAAGACATGAAGACCTTCATGCAAATCTTGCTGTGTGCAGGCACAGAGACATCAGCTCACAGCACGTCACTGACTGCATGCCTGCACTGCAGCTGCTGTTTGTTAACCTGGAGTTGCATCGTGACAGAAGAAATGCCTGCACCAAGGAAGTGCTGCAGCTTTGTAAAAAACCTCCTGCTTTTACTGGCCTTAATCCTCTTGTTCTTGTCTCTCCTTACAGTCAAGTGCGTGTGAAACGAGCCTGCGTGCTTTGCTGAAAGACTGTTGAAATCCATGGAGGTAAACAGATTTTGGAGTAAGATTGCTTGCTTCTTTCTTGCATTTTCGTGCTCGAGTCAGCCAGCAGCATTATGGCAGTCGTGAGATGGAAGCTGCAGCCAGTCAGGAAACTGGCTTTTCCAGGAAAGCTCAGGCTTTTCTGCACATCAGGGTAGTAGCCATACTCAGGAGCAAGCTGCTGCTCATGGATTGCTCCATTAATGCAAAAATGCCGTAATGAAGAGCAGCTCCTGCACAGGACTGGGCACTGAGACCTTTGTGTCTGCAGGTGATTCTCCAGCAGTTCTGTGTCGGCTGCACGTGGCTGCATTGCTTCCCAGGGCCTGGGAGCAGGCGACAGCACTCTGATCAGAGCGATGGTGTCCCACTCCGAAATGAATCTGCTGGATATCAGAAGAGGATTCCTGACCATGTATGGGAAGTCTCTCTACTCCTTCATGAAGGTAAACTTGTCCATGTTAACACAAGAAGTGGGATTTTCTGAGTGCCTTTAAGGACTTGACATCTGTTGGGTATTTTAGAGCAGTTGAGATGAAGCAGACTTTACAAAAACATACTGAAAATGTTCCTGAATATTGCTAAATTGTCTAGGATATGAATGCTGCAAGAAGAAATCTGTCTTAAGAAGAATTTTACTTTAATAGAACTTAGAAATTATTCATATTCCTTTTTTTTTCTTAGTAACTCAGTTTGCTCTGGCCTTCTCTCTTCCTCTTCTCTACTTTCTTTTTTTCTGCACTCTTCTCCCTCTTTTCTCTGCACCATTCCTTCCTTTCTTCCTCCATCTGCCCTTCCCTCTTTTGCTGTTCCCTCTGTTCTCCCTACCCTCTTTTTTTTTTCTCTTGTCCTTTTTAGATCTGCTCTTCTTACCTGTATCTTCTATTCTGCTCTCTTTCTTTTCCCCTCTCATTCATCACCTTTCTGTTCTTCTCCCTTACAAGCTCCTCTCTTTTTTTCTTTGTTCTGCTGTCTTTTCTCTCCTCTCCTTCTCTCTTCTCCTCTTTGTGGCAAGAGAACTCCGAGCTCCCTTGCTGGTGTGGCAAGAGAGGCGCAGGCTTTCTTGCTGGTGCAGAAGGAAGGACGAAAGACCTTTATTGTAGTGCTTACAACCTTTTATACCCGCACATCAACAACTGGTTACCTGCAGGAACAAGGCGCCTCATGTGTGTTTATGTCTGGCTCAAATTACTGCTGAGCTTTTTTACTCATAGCAAGATAACAAATTTCTTTATCCCACATCTTCCCCTTCTTTATTAATAGATAAAGAAGCACGGTTCAAAAACAATCCTAAAAGCAGCTAAACTAAAAGCAATACACCGAACAAACGATGTGTTCTTTGGAGTACAAACAATGGTCCATATTAACCAACCCCAACAACTCCAGTTCTTACGATTCCTCAGTGACACAGTTGACAAAGTGTGTCTTGTGGGTGAGAGTCCAAACCACTGGTGAAGGCGCTGTGATCATGTTACAGCAGATGGTGAGACGGGTGGCCAGACCCCCAAACTCACATGAGCACCCCCTGGACACCGCAAGACTCCTCTGGGAACATCCCCAAACCCTTCTGGATGAGTCTAGGACCACAGAGACCCACATGAGGACTCCCTGGACCCTACCAGACTCTACTGGGACATCTCCAGATCAGCCCGGGGACTCCTCAGAGCTCCTGGGCCCACAGTGGGATCTTCCAGATCCTTCCAGGGTGCCATGGGACCAGCCTGGGGACTCCCTTGAACTGGGCTGGGGGTTGCCTTGGCAGCAGGATAGGCTTCGGTGTGGAAGAATCTTCCCAGTGCTCACCTCAGAGCTCAGGCTGAAGGCAGCAGTGCATGGGAAGAAGGGGCCTCTAGCGCATCCATGGCACTGGGGAATCTGAGGGGATTGGAAAGCAAACGGAGAAGCAACAGATGCTCTGCAGCACGGGGAGGGCTTAAGAGCCTGACTTTGGGCAGCGGTGCTCTGCAAACTGTTGGGAAGCAGCAGGAAATTCTGCCAGTGGTTCCCTGGGAAGTTCCTTTGGAAGCTCTGGCCATGTTCCTTGGCCTTCCTCCCATTGAATGCCTTTCTCTTCCAGATGGCGTCAGCAGGACCTGTTGTGCATGAGCTTCCGTCTCTGGGGTAAGAACACTTCCTTGCCCTGCACCCCTGGCTCTGTAGTGTGGCCTCAGCTGCCTGCACGCTCTTTGCATGCCTCCTTCCTCCCATCTGTATGGTGGAAGGCAGCCCTTGGCAAAGCGAAGGAACAAAAGGGGTTGGGGGATAAGGATAACTTTGGTTGCAAGTGCAAAATTTGGTCTTGTCCTCTGATATTTTGGGGAGAAAACCTGTGGTAGTTGTAAGAAAACGGGTATTTCTGGGAGAAAATATCCTATTTTTGGAAGAAAAGGTCAGCTTTGCAACTGAAATGTGGTATTTCTGTGAGAAAATGACCTACTTGTTGGAGAAAAGGGGGAAATTCTGGGAAGGAATGTCTTCTATTTGAGAGCAACTGTCTTCTTTTTGGAGTGCAAACCGGTCCTTTGGGGAGAAAATAGGGTCTATATGGGAGAAAATGTCCTCTTCAGGAGTGTAGAGTAGTACTTTTGAGAGAAAATGGAAAGTATTTCTCAGAAAACGGCAATTTCTGGGAGAAGACAGCATGCTTTGTTGGAAAATGACATCTATTTGTGAGAAAGCTGGGATTCTGGGGAGAAAATGCCGCATTTTAAAAAATAAGCTGGTATTTCCGGGGGAATATGTCCCATCTTTGTTAGAAAACTGGAATATCTGTGATCAGATGTCATTTTGATGGGAGTAAACATGATATTGAGGAGTGTAAAGTAGTGCTCTTGGGATGAAATGTGAGGAATTTCTAAGGGTACTGGTATTCCTGGGAGAAAATGTCTTGTTTCTGAGAGAAAATGTCGTCGTATTTTGGGGGGAGAAACTGGTATTTCTGTGATAAAATGCCCTATTTCTGGGAATAAATGTCCTATTGAGGAGTGTGAAGTCATATTTTTGGTAGAAAATGGGAGGCGTTTCTAAGAGAACTGGTATTTCTGGGAGAAAATATCTTATCTTGGGGGGGAAAGTTCCTATGTCTGTGAGAGAACTGTGTTTCCGGGAGAAACTGTCTTCTTTAGGCAGAAAAGATCACATAGTTGCGAGAAAGCTGGTATTTCTGGGAGGAATTTCTGGGAGGAAATATCATATTTTTGTTGGAAAATGTCACATTTGCTACTGCCATGTAGTATTTTGTGGATGAAACATGCAGTATACCTAAGAAAACCTGTATTTCTGGTAGAAAACGTCATCCCTTTGGGGAGAAGACTGGTATTTCAGGGAGAAAATATCCTTGTTTGGGGAGAAAGTGTCCTATTTTTGATGGAAAAGTAGTCCTTGTGGGAGCAAATGCCATGTATTTGGGTGAAGGGTGGGATTTTGGGAGGAAATACCGTATGTTTGGAAGAAAGTGTCCTCTTTCAGATTGAGATGTGATACTTGTGGTACTGTCCTACGTTTGGGCAAAAACTGGTATTTCTGGGAGATAATGTCATTTCATTGGAGCAAACCATTATTTTGGGGAGAGAATGTCTTATTTTTGGAAGAAAATGTGGTACCTTGGGGGGGGGTGGGGTGGGGGAACTGGCATTTCTGGGAGAAAATGTCATCTTTTGGGG